GGCCCGCCGGCGGGCCACGTGGTCGTCAATGGGTTAATAATGTTAAGGGAGAAAACACAAGGATTTCTTGAATTACATAAGTTTCTAAAACAGAAGCAGCAAATCTTAACTAGAAACTTTCGTTTGTGTAGATGGACGCGCAACAGCGAGGGAGTTCCACGCAACTAATTCGATCAAACACGATCGTAAAAGATCTCTTGTCGTCCTCAATTTGGTTCTTAGCTTAGACTGACTGAATTCATCTGCTCATCTGCCGAGGGGTCCTTACTAGGAAAGGAAACCTTCACAATTTCAAGATTTTATAGATGATTGTTTGTAACGACAATTTCGTACAATTATCTATAAAAATCTCTGTATCTGATCTCTATCTATCTAATGCTGAGCCTAAAAAAGAATTTAACAAACTCAGTGTGTACCGCATGACTCGCCAGTGGAGCACTACTCATGGGTCCCGTCTTGTAATTACATACGGTAACAATTCATGCATCTTTGATGTCCTGAAACCAACTGAAGCTAAAAATTTTGTCGTTCTTTGTCCTTTGTTGTAGCATTTCTTGTATCACTCAGACCATGAAAAAGACTTCTCTTCATCCGCTTTTCTTTCGCGCTGCTGTCTGCTTTTCCAACGCAATGTTTCCGATCTTGGGAAAGAGAGAATCATCATTGAGAAATTGCTAAGAGTGACTTTTTTGATCCTACCTGTAGTAAGTGATAAGTACATTAAACCACTGTAGAAGTGCTTGAGAAGACTCCTATTTCGCGAAGATTACGGAGAACAACATGGACTTGCATACAGCGACGATATGATATTTTATATATATGCCAGTCGGCTCGCCTGACGCCGGGTTCCCCTCCTTCCCGTATTAAAATGGACTTCCCGCCTGCACCATCCATCAAATTTGAGCACTTTAGGTCCATGGGAATTAGAGCTATGAATTTCCACTCAAACCCCGCTCACTGGCCCACTGTGGGCAGAATCCGGTCCTGCCGCCCAGCATAAGCGTTTCCATCGTGCCGCTTGCACTCCTACCAAATTGAACGCTCTAGGTTTAAATTTGAGTTATTCACACAAACCCCGCCCCTTGTTTGCGGAGCCCGGTTCTGCCACCCACCATGGGCGTTGCCATCCTGTCGCCTGTACTCCTACCAAGTTTGAACTTTCTAGGTCCACGGGGATGGGAGTTATGATTTTACAAAATGTTTTCATATAGCATTGCATTTTTGGAGAACACCCCGTCCATTGGAGGTGGGTCTCCCTAGTCTGATCTAACTTACCAATGCACATCCCTAGCCACCTTTACTCCCAGTTTTGAAGCCGTCTTGTGGCTGAATTTGAATTCATGGTCTTCAGTACAGCTCATTTCGATGCACGCCACGCCCAATGTGGGCGGGGATCCGAAAAGCTGATGTGTGTTTTATACTTCTGGCAGATCTAAAAGAGCTGAGAATTTCGTGACAGACATACATAACGACAGACAGAAGGCCAGTAATTAATGAATTACAAGTTTTCAAGAACTCATCAGCCATACATTTATTAAAATTTTTATTGATTAGTGTTTAAACTTCATAGTGATTTCAGAAATCCTTCGTTTTGTAAGTCGTTGAACTTGAAGTTATTATGCCAAAACACAGCAATCAACGATTGCACTAGATGAGAAATCAAACGGTGACTCAGTACCGTATAAGCTTATCACAGCATGAAAGACCTCAAGCTTCGATCCCGTATCAGAGCTTCGCCTACAACACGCTATTGGGACATCTAAGTCATAAGTAGCGTTTCTATAAATATATCTAAGAAAACACTGTCGGTGACAATACATCAGCCATGAGATAACTTTTGGAAAGGACACTGGGCGAAGCTACAGAAGGGGAGAGAACAGCTCCCGCTAGCACCATTGGAGATATCACATCAGGACATAGCACCATCGGGCTAAGAACAACAGGTGCCAATACATAAGGATTAATAACGTTAGGAGAAAGTACGTATGGTGAGAAAACAAACGGAGCTAATACGAGGGGTGACAATACATAAGGAGAGAGAAGGTATGGTGAGATAACGAACGGTAAAGGAACGGCTGGTGACAAGACCCATGGTCCAAGAACAGAAGGATTCAACACTAGTGGCGAGAAGGTGTTTGGCGAAAGAACGACAGGTCCCAGGACGCTCATTCCATATACCGGCGCGAATTGGTACGGACTGAGGACGGAAGGAGCGAGTGCAGAAAATGCTCGAAACTGTCGCTTGTGTCTCCGACGCTAAAAGTGCTAGGCTTAGAAAAAGCATTACTCCTTAGGAGATTCGTTGTGCTTCTAGTAAAGTGTTATTTAACGAGTATTATATGGCAGTATTTTGTTATATAGTGCAGCATTATGTATATGAAATTCTCTCTACCGTTTTCAGTATATGAAGAGCAGGACGAATTTAGAGAGAAAAATAAACTGAAGGACCAAACTTCTCTGAGGTGTTCATGAACCTTACCTAAAATGCCTTATTACTCCCATATACTTACTTTATTGAGTCCAGCAATATTCGCTATTGCTTCCCACAGAGCCTCCTCGCGTTGCTTCTTATTCAGCGCTCCATACTCATCAACCATAGCTTTTATTTCAGGTTCGTGAAGGTCTGCAGTGTATTATAATTATTTTTAAGTTCTTTTTTTGGGAAATTCTCTAAGCGATTACGGGTAAATGAACCTTGATCTTTATGAAGCTTTCGCAGTTGTGCTGCTTCTAGGAACGTATATCCTTTTTCTACCAAATCCTCATTCTGTTTACCAGACATTGAAGAACGCAGCCGTTCGAAGGTTTCCCCGATCTGACAGTAATTTTACAGCCATGTGAATTCAGTATCATATGATATTAGTATAAATTTCACTTTAATGGCATAATAATAGGATAGTACCAAATAAAGACGCTTTAAAACATCATAATAATGTGACATAGTAATACTATAAAATTTAGTAGTGTTGCACAATAGTCCAGTAAAAAACATAGTAATAATACAGTGTAGTAATATTATAAGACGTAGGATTCGTCATCATCTGCCTCCAATATCAGCCTTGTAGCTAGGTGGACCATGCCTAGTAAGGAACAAAAAGCAAGTCGTTGCTTGCGCCCGAAACGTTC